CGTTGGAGACGTTTGTTGTTGTAGGCATACTCCATTTTGAGTATAGGTCGTCCCAAGGGCACCAAGATTCACTTTTGCTTTCGGAGTTATGAATAGTTTTACAACGTGTCCTCCCTGATTGTCTTTCGGATTGGGAGAGAAATCCCCCAGGGACAGAAACCTTGACGGCGCAAAACATGCAAATCGATTGTTCAAAAGAAATATTATAGAAAATTACTAAGACAAGCTTTTGACTCGATCTCAATTTGGCTGACAAGGAAAAAAAATATATATATATATATATACATATATCAGGGGTAACGCGAAGCAAAATTCAGCGAGAATAAAAACCCTAAAAGAATTATGTTCTGACATAAAACAAATTAACCAGGAAATCACCTTAATTCCAGCAGAGTATATAAGAAATTATTCATAAGATTAGCACTAAGAATATGAAACTAGGGCTCCAAGAACTCGATGTCGTCCGCACAAAAGACAGGCGGATAACTAAATTAAACGTCAAACCCTAGAGGGACATCCATATCAAAAAATTAATTATTATCAAAAGACCTAATTAATCAAAGATAGAGAGTCGTAGCTACACAATAAGTATTTAGATTCACACAAATACCTAAATCAGACGCAGACCAGAACACGAGAGAACGAAAGAGAAGAAGGAACGAGAAAAGAGAAGGAGCCTTTTATAGTTGAAAAATCCGGACCGTGGTCTATTCGGATAAAGAAAACGGAAATCGGCCACGGAACGATGTCGTTTTACGTTAGGGTGGTTATAGTAATTTTACATTACATGTAAATATAAAACTTATATTATGAATTTTAGAAAAATAAACTCTCGAGTTCTGAAAATTTATCAAAAATAAAATGGTCAATATTATATATATATATATATGTTTTTTACAATAAAAATAAGTGTTTTGAGGCAAAAGTATAAAATATTTTTGCTTTTAATAAAAACAAAGTTAGAAGCTATAAATATATGATTTTGAGAAGGAATGTAGATAATATTTTTAATTGGTATATTTATTAATTTTATATAATTTAAATCCATATGTTAAATATTTTATATGTTAATTTGGTTTTTGAAAATACAAGTATTTTGTATTTATTAATTAAAAAATATTATATATAGATATATTTATCTTATAATCTTATGCATAGTATCTTTAATATAATAAACTATCTAATCAATTTTAAATAAAAAAAAAATAGAAATACAAAAATAACAACAATAATACAATAAACATCGAAATTTTTATATAGAAACCATTCAATTTAAAGTTTTTACATATGAAACTGTAATTCAATTTTATAATAATAATAATTATTCATCATAGTTCCCTAATCATTCTTCTACGAAGTTGTCACTCTATTCAACCACCTTACGCAATTCTTCTCTATCAACCACGAAGTTGTCACTCCGTTCAACCTCCTCCCGCAAGTCTTCTCTATCAACTGCAAGGTTGTCTTTCTGTTTAATCTCTTCCCATAATTCATTTATATCAATTACGAGATTGTCATTCCATTCAATCTCCTCACGTAATTCTTCTCTATCAGCTACGAAGTTATCACTCCATTCAACCTATTTCCGTAATTCTTCTCTATCAACTGCGATGTTGTCTTTCCATTCAATCTCCTCCCATACTTCATCTATATCAACTACGAGGTTGTCATTCCATTCAACCTCTCGCAATTCTTCTATATCAACCACGAAGTTGTCACTCCATTCAAGTTGATCCCACAATTCTTCTCTATCAACTGCGAGGTTGTCTTTCCGTTCAATCTCCTCCCATAATTCATCTATATCAACTACGAAATTGTCATTCCATTCAACCTCCTTCCCGAATTCTTCTCTATCAACCACTAAGTTGTTACT